TCTCTCTCTCTCTCTCTCTCTCTCTCATCACCCACCTCAGAACCCAGACATGAAATGTTTCATCTCGTCCCTTCTCAGCCCCCTTCCCTCCCAGCATCTAAGAATAGGGATCCCCTGTTTTATGACCCGGTTGCCCTCGATAAAGTCTTGCCGGCTTTATAGACTCACTGACTAGAAGATGGATGGTTCGATTCCCCCGGCTCCTCTAGTCTGAATGTTGAGAGAGTTGCTGACGAGACACTGAACCCTAAGTTGGCCCTGAACGTGACTTGTAGTAACAACTTTGAGAGGTAATTAGGGCGCAGACCGCCCCTGTGGTAACCCCTCACCCTAAACTGAAAGGTTTGAAGTGCCCTGAAACTAGAAAAGCACCATATAGATGCCATAAATTTACCTTCAGCAGTTCAGATCTGTCTGATGACTGCAATTCCTATTTCTTTTTTCAAAAAGCAGAAATCAAATCCAGATGAAATGAATAATTCATCAACAATGTAAAAAATTAAAGACGTACTCGAGCTGGAGGTGAGCGGGCAGGTTGGGGCTACGGGAGCTGTGGGAGGGGAAGAAGGTAGAGGGGGGAAGGAGGAAGAGAGGGAGGAAGGACAGCTGGGTGAGAGAGGCCTGGTGGAGGTAAAGAACAGCTGGACGCTGTGGTGCTGGAGGACGTGGCCGGGCAGCGCTGTCAGACACCTGGGTGTGGAGAGAGACGGGTCAGCAGGGAGTCAGACGGACACAGGGAGGCCACAAAACTTCAAATAGCTTTAAAAGCTGCAGGAAGAGAAACGGATTTGGATGAAGCACACATCTCTGTGGTGTTGGCCTACGTCTTGTCAGTACTACTGTGGATATTTTGTTTTCACGCTCAAACAAGCACGCCGGGCCAGTAGGTGGTGATAAAGTCTAAAACAACACTCCCTCAAATACCAGAGAGGAACGCTGCGGTCCGTGTAATATTGGACGAGGCAGACGCCTGAATGTCGGTAATGAGAGTCTAACCTGGGGTCCGGCTCTGAGGACTGAGGGAAGAACTTCTCCACTCCTTCATCGGGGAACGCCTGTGACAGCTTAAAGTGAAAACACACAGACACATATAAAACTAAACCAAACATATTAACTTTCTATGCTGACGATACTGAGCTGTACATCCCCAAACAACCAAGCAGCGATGTCATTTTCAGAAACAAATGACTTATTTATTCATTCATAATGTCACTAGACATTTCAATCTGTAGAATAACTGAAACCTTTTACTTTTCTATGAACCTGTGCGTCGGTAAAACAAGATTATACTATTTCCCCAAAACCCCTGAAGCAAAGAATGATGTGATTCCATGGTGCTAACCTGAGACAGCAGCTCCGTCACCTCCTGATGAGTTCGGACAACGGACAACACAAAACCATCCGACCAGCTCACCTGCAGGAGCAGGAGGAGAGAGGAGAGGAGGGTGGAGGAGAAGGAGCAGAAGAGGGAGGTGGTGTGGAGGAGGAAGGAAAAGATTAAACATGTTAAAAAAAAGGTTTGTGTGAATATTAACTTGTTGCTCTCACTGGACTCACCTCGAACACACATTCACCGGTGTCTTCAGACGTGTGCGTCACTCCTCTCAGCGCCACCCTCTCAATCACCACTGGAAGAAGAGCAGGTTGTTTCACAGACGATTAAACTTCACAACTTCACTCCCTCCAATTAAGTTTGACAAAAACACTTTCAGGCTTTAGGCTTTAAAAGTGCTACATGTACGTGTTTTGTCTGCCACTGAACGTAGCGTCTGAGAGCAGGTGGTGGGTGATGGTGTCGGATGGGTGAGTTAGAATGGTAGGAACGTGAAATAGGTGTGTGTGTGTGTGTGTGTGTGTGTGTGTGTGTGTGTGTGTGTGTGTAAGCAGGAGACCCACAGTTATGGATTTAGACATTAAACTCCGCAACTCTCGATTTGAAACCACATGAGGCGTGAAGGGACAAGCAGCAGGGGAGGAGGAGACATGAGGAGGAGGAGGAGGAGACAAATCAGGAGAGAGAGAGAGACATGAGGAAAGAGA